TTCCTTCTCTTAGGAACCATTGTTTAGGCTCCTGTTCACATTTCCTCTTCCCTCTGTTTGGTGCTACCCTATGTTTGTTCCTACTGAGAACTAGGAGTAATAAATTTTCTTCTCAATGGCAGCTCTCATCTTCTGATCTACTGGCTTCTCTATCTAATAATTATAAAAATCTACATTTAAAAACACCCATTTGAGGTGCCCACCAAAAGTGTGCCTTCCCACATTTCTAAAATACCTGTGAAAGTATCATCAAATCAGGGATCTCTGAAAGTCTGTTAAGTATGAGGGTCTATCCCAGATGGGAGAGTGAGAGCTGACTCTCCTCTCTCCCCGCACCATAAACACACACACCAAACTCCACCCAAATGCTTTCTCTCCATTGTCTTCTTTCTTTCTTCCTTACAAAGCAGTTGCACAGGCCTGACCCTGAAGTTTCTCAATCCCATGTAGATGGGGCACCATCTAATTCCCCAGGCTGCAGGACTCAGTGTCAATGGCAGGTCTCCTTGCTCTGTTCGAGCTCATGAGCAAACAGCTGGTCCTCTCTGAGAGTTTTCGTTTCATAAACTCTTCTTTATGTGCTTCCAATTAAATCTGATTTGGCTCAATCTGTCTAATCTCATTGACTTCTCCTTTTATCACTGTCAGGTTTTTTTTTATTTTTTTGGTAGGGGGATGATGCTAATTAGTTTCCTGGTCTCCACAAGCCAGCAGGCAGTTCCCCTTGAGGAGAAAAGCTCAGTATGCACTGAGGGCCTATGTACATATTAATGTGCCCAATTACATTTGGTAATGTGAGCAGGGGGCATGTGGGTCTGGAGTTGCACATAAAACAAATTTGGATTTATAAGCAAAAGCAAAAGGCAGGCAAGAGCTGAGGAACCTCCACACTCACATGGATTTGGCAACTCCTTGCTTCAGTTAGATTAATGGATTAATTGAGAAGAGTTTAAAAGTCCAGACATATTAGTACTGAGATGGCTTAATTAAGCAAGTCAACCTTTAATATTTAATTTATCTTTAATTTCTTTTTATCTAACTCTGAAATGCCTCTTATATTTTGCCCCTCCTTTCTGTCCTTGAAGCCATCACCCTAGTTCAGGCCTCATTGCCCTTGCTCTAGACCAGTTTTTACCTTTACAACTCCCTCCCATATCTCTAGGTCCCACCCATTGTCCACAGTCTACCCTCCATGTGGACATGTAGTCACAATTTTTAAATATTGACTGTGTGGATCCAACTCTCCCTTGTCTTGATAAACTTCCCTAACTCCAAAATGCCTACAGAATAAAGGTTTGTGTGCTTTGTGGCTCCTAGTCTATCCTTACTTCCCCTGGTGTTTGTTCATTCATGCTTCTCTTTCTGTTCTAGTCACACTGATGGGGGGAGCAATGTGCCTGGTATCACCACATAGGATGACCAAAGAAAATAAATTCAAATTTCAGAAAAACTACAAATAATTTTGGGGACATACTTATAGTTAGATGTTATTTGATGTTTGTCTGAAATTCAAACTCAATCTGGCATCCTGTATTTAATAAATCTAGCAATCCTTCCCTATTCCTCTCTGCCTCTTCTTCTTCTTCTTTTTTTTTTTTTTTTTTTTTTTTTGTGTTGTTGTTGTTTGGTACCAGGGATCAAACTCAGGGTCACTTGACCACTGATCCACATCGCAGCTTATTTTATATTTTATTTGGAGACAGGGTCTCACTGAGTTGCTTAGTGCCTTGCTTTTGCTGAGACTGTCTTTGAACTCGAGATCCTCCTGCCTCAGCTTCCCAAGCTACTGGGATGACAGGTGTGCACCACCACACTGCCTGTCTGCCTCTTCTTTCTCAAGTCTTGTCCTCCGCTCAAAGAGCCTGGTTCCATGGAAGCAGGCTAGTGTTGATGGAAATTCTGCAATTGTAATACTTATCACCTTGATTTCCTCTCAATAACATTGTTTGGTCATCTTCACTAGAATGAAAGTCATAAGAAGGTGAGTTCTGTGCCTGATTCTTTAGCTTGACCCTTATACCACCAGAGAATGATTAATTGATTCTGTATAGTAGGTGACATCTCTCTGGAACAGAAAGAAGCAAACTGGAGAACAGCAAGACAAGGCGTCAGATGTTCCAAATTCAGGTGATCTCCTGAGATTTATTGCCATGATACTGCAGCCTTAGGAGCTCTGTTCATTCTTGGGCTGGAACTGTGGGTCCTGGGAGAAAAATGAGCTCCTCTTTTTCTGCCATCATTCAGAGTACTCATTATCTATTGTCAGCAAACATCCCCACCATGAGTAGGGCTGGAGGGTGGTGTGATTTCCCAGAACTCAAATGAGTAAATGAGGTCATCATCAATTAAAAAACAGCATTTTTGTTCCATTAAAGGAGTGTCATGACTCCTGAAATTATTGTAGTTGTGCTTGTGTATGTATACTTATGTTCATGTGTGTACATATGAATGTGCATTTGTGTGCCCACATGTATGGTGATAATCTCTTTCAGTAATGGCCCAAAGATTGAGAAACATAAACTGTCTTTGTATAACTTCCACTTAAAGTAGAGCAGAGCTGAGGTCTTGTTTTTGTGGCACAACAAACGTGAAGATATTCGATTGCTTCCTTTGGAAAGGCAAATTGCACCTAGTTGCCCCTCTAGAATCTGCATAGAGGTACAAAGCAAAGCAGTTGCCAGAGGTACTGTTCTAAAAACTGTTGATTCTAAAAGCTTGCATTGTAATATTTCAGATGGATCTATGCTTATTATGAAATGTTTTAAAAGTACTTGCATTTATGAATAAGCGGAGAGAAAAAATTCAATTATCTCCAATCTCACTGAACAGAGCTAATAATATCTTTTCTATTCTTTTTTCAGATACTTTTCTGCACATAGCTGGGTTCATATTGTATATATGTTTCTCTCTTTTTAAAAAGATAGTATCATTAGAAGCATTTATCCACATCTTTAAAAATATTGTTAATGGCTGTTCAATATGTCATCAAATGAAAGAAATAATTTTGTGCACCTTCCTCTTTGCAAGTTTAAATAATTTCTGCCTTTTTCCCATTATAAATGAAACTACAAACTATAAATGTTTGCACTCAGATGTAGGTACCCATTTTTTTTAATCATTTTGTCTTCTAGATTCAGAGGATTTTGATTGCTAACTCAATTCCAAAGTGTTTGAGTCTTATTATGGATTTGCTACTGTGAAGGTGATGCCCACCCACACTGTCCATGACAGTGACTTGCACACTAACCTAGGTTACCCCTTAGCAGGAAAGGGGCTGCTTCATGAACAAGTGGGAGGGCCAAGACAGCAGCCAACATTTGCACAAAAATTTTCCTGATGTACTTGTTTGCTTATTTATTATCTCCTTTTACTTCCACATGTGAATTGTTCACATGTGTGTGAACAAGGGCTTATACTGCAATTGGCAGTTAAAAAAAAAACTGGAGTCCTAGGACTAGGGTGAGTCAGTTTGCTTGTTTTAGGCAAGGGCAACTTGTTTGAAGGAACATGTCAATATCTGCTTGCCTTGCACCTGTGTGCTCAGATAGGCATGAAAAGGGAGACCAGCCAGTGTGTGGCTTCTAAGAGCATCAACTATGTGTCCTTGGACAAGCCTTGCTGTCTCTTCCTTTCTGATAGGAAGACAGAAGTGGTAATGTTATATCTGTGGTTGCAGAACCATGTAAATTAATCCAGATAAAGACTCTGGACAGCACTTAAAGCAGAGAGAGCCAGAGGAATGCTATATGATGTGAACTACTTACCCAGATGGACTCATCCTCTTTCTACCTAGGGATGATGCTTAGTTTGTTAGGTTCTTTGAGAACCCAGCCTGCAATAGTTTGCTCAGTCAACTGTAACAAAATACCACAGACTGGGTGCCTTAAATAACAACCATTTATCATCTCATAGTTCTGGAGACTGGAAGACAAATGTGTTAGCAGGGTTGATTTCTCTCTCCTTGGCTTGTAAATGGCTGTCTTCTTCCTGTGTCCTCAATCTCCAATTTCCTCTTCTCATAAAGCACCAGTCTCCTTGGATTAGGACTCACCTTTTGCCTTCATTACTTCTTTAAAGATCATCTTTCCAAATGCAGTCACATTCTGAACTCCTGAGGGTTAGCGCTTCAATGGTGGATTTTGGGGGACACAAGTCAGCCCACAGCTAATGGTCAATACTAGACCCAATAACAACACTACACACTCCCTTCCTTTTCCAAAGATGATAGGTCCATCATTCCCCTTGGAGTATATGACCACCTTTTTGAATAATCTGATTAGACTATGTAAACACTTGCATATTTCTCTTTTGCTTGGTGGTCAAAGTGCAAAACTAGTCTTCACATAAACCTTTTGTATTCCAATCACTTGTAGAATTTAGGCCTTTAGGTTAGTTGCACTCATCACACTTAAGCTAGAATAGATGCATTAAAGAAAATTGAAAAGTGTTAATAATTAAATCCCCTTTCATTTCAACTTCTAATGAGGGCAAAGTGGCTGTTAAATGGACTGAAATGAATTTGAAGAATACGTTTGAAGAATGTTGATACATTTCATATGGAAATGTTAGCATTATGAATTATTCCTCTTTGTGGGAGTTTTAATTGATTTATTCTTTCAGTTACTTACTTTATGCTCCTCCTCTTATCCAGTAATCCATGCAAACATCAAAGATCGGCATGAGATGAGCAATAAGGAAATAAAGTGGCAATGTGGGGGCAGGGATGAGACTTTACTCTGGGGAAGAATCAACAATTATTCAAAAAAAGGTTTATTGAGCACTTCTCAAAGTCTCCTAGTGGGACTGGATGTGAGTGGGTCCTAGCAGATGGCCCTGACTTGGACCTTAGGAGATTTAGGGCTTCCTTCAAAGCTAATACACTGATTCAGGATATCACTGGTTTATGCGTGGGATGCATATTGAAAATATGCAAAGGTATTCTATTATGGAGTCTTCATTTACATAGAAAATAATTATGTTCATGTTAATTCAATTTTTAGGAACTTTTGGTTCAAGGAAACCATGGTATTTCCCCTTCACTGCATCATATTGGAAGACTATATGTGGCTTGGTGGAGAAACAGCGACGCTCTCTAAGTTCTAGTTTGTTCTTCTTCAATGGGAACTTTGACAATCCAGGTATGGAAGGAGTAGCAACATTAGATGCATTTGTATTCTGGTCAATTTTGATTTTTGAAATTCACTTTTGGGTGAGCCTTTAGAACTTAGAACTGATTCTTAGAAACTCACTTTCAGACTGTCTTGGGTTCAGAAACAGCTGCAGGACTAAAGTGCGAGACACTGTCTCCTGGACATATCTTGTCCGCATGAGGCCAGGAACCCCAGAATATTCACATTACTTATTATTCTGAGCACTCCCCTCTCTGTATTCTATGTTTCATTTGTATTTGTGCATCTCTAATAATTTGGTAAAACTGAAGCATCTGTCCAAAAATGAAGGACATTGAAAAAAAAATAAAAGCAAAGCAAAGCAGTTGCCAGGTGTGGTACACTTAAACATGTCAAAGTGATTTCACACATTCCAGCTTGTTCCATGTTTCTGTGAGAGAATATCAATGCCACTTACCAATGGATAATCCTCTTAGGGTAAACTGCTCTAAGGAGATGAGGGAAGGACTGTTCTCATATCGCTGTATTCTAGTCACAGCCCATTCCTGTGGCCAGACACATGGATACTTCTACAAAAGGACCACTCAGATGGGTGCACCACCCATGGAGTTGCAAGTTCCCATCATGCTGGGTTTCTGTTCTCACAACCAAAAGGCTCAGAGGTCACTCCAGGTAAACTGGGCTGACTGGGCTGCACATAAAACCACACAAGAGACACAAATACCTTTTTCAATGGGGTTGCTATGACGGCTCCTCTGACCTTAAAGGTCTGCAGGAAGAGAGAGAGAGAGAGAGAGAGAGAGAGAGAGAGAGAGAGAGAGAACACGTGCTGACCCCTTTTATTGAGGAGAAGCTATTCAAATGAGGCAAGGGGCAGGTTTCAGGGGGCTGAGTCTATCTTCATGATGTCCACGTCAGCAGGTTGACTGACATCTGGATAGGCCACACACAAGGGCACAGTAAGAGAAGGGGACACACACAAGGCACTTCCATGGAAGATTCTATCCTAAACAGGGCAAGGGGTAATATTACAAAGGAACAGGTGAGCGTAGCTAAATCCATGGGGCTGTAGCAAGATACACCCATGCATGAGGCACCGTCCCTCAAACCCAAGAAGGGTGAGGAGAGCTCTGCCACATTTCTGTGACTGAGTGCCTCAGCACCCAGCCAGGGAGTGTGACTCAGTCACATGCAAGGTTGGTCTCCCACACCATCATGGTGTTTGTGTGCTATGAGTTAATATTGGGGGTAATTTTTTTCTGATTAAACTAGTAAAACATGAATCTTTTAGAAAATTTGGAATAGATTAACCAATACCTATCAACTCTCATCAAGCAGAATATTTCTTATGGACCTTTTGCTGTGTAACTCACCTGCCTTGTTCTTTTCTCTACATCAAGAAATACATGTGTGTGTCTTTATTTTTGTATTTTCTACAAATTATTTCTCATAAGGGTTCAAAACTGTCATCTGTGATTTCACTTAATTTCTGCCATCAAGTAACTTTCTTTTTGCTTTGAATAAGGATTTTTTAACTGCTTTGCATGTCACAGAATTAGAATTCAATTCTAAAGAAAACAATTCAACAATAAGTGTAAATGTTTTTCTGGGGGTGCTTTTGAAATCATTTCAGAAAGAATTTGCATCTTTCTCACAGAGTCATTGCCGCAAAGCAGAGGAGAGCTTGAAGGAGATGCCCCAGGAGTCACTCTCCTGTCTGTGACTAAGGAGCATGAGGGCCACAAGGTGGCTGTCCAAGACCTCACCCTCACCTTTCACAGAGGCCAAATCACTGCACTGCTGGGGACCAACGGTGCCGGGAAAACCACCATCATGTGCGTCCCAATTTGCTTTCCTTTGTTTCCAGTTTACCCATGACACCGAAGGTCTGATTTCTTTTACTCCTTTTCTTTTCTTTGTATTTTTTTAGTCCAGTTCAGAGTTCAGTGACACAGGAGAGAGTCAGAGCCTTCTCCCCAGAGCGGCTCTATGTCACACAATTACCCAATTACATTTTAGACCTCGAGTAGCTTCTGAGGAAGGATGGGATGCATGGAGGTTTTTTTTTTTTTTTAACCAAGTCAATCTGTTAAGGTTTTTATCAGATCATTATAATTATACATAGTGTTTGGATTCTTTTTAACAAAATTATATGCACAAAGAATTTGATTTTGATCCCCATTTTGTCTCCTCTTTCCTTTCCTTTTCCCTCCCCTTTTTCTCCTTCCTCTACTGATCTTCCTTTCACTCCTTTATTTATTTTTGACTGGTACTTTACATATGTACACAAAGGTGAAAATATATATATTTATATATATATACATATATATGTGTATATATATGTATATATATATATATATATATATATATATATAAAAACACGAGTCTGTCAGAATCGTTTTCATATTTCTTTCCCTTCCTTCTTCCCTCCTTCTAGTTTTCCTCCTACTTCACTGATCTTCCCGATAATCTTTGTGCTTTCTGCTCCCCAGCTTCCTTCTTTCCATTATTTTGTTCTGGCTTCCACCTGTGAGAGAAAACGTTCAACCCTTGATAGTCTACATCTGGTTTATTTCACTCAGTAAGATTTTCTCCATTTCCAGTGGATGGATTTTTTAAAAAATATTTCTTCTTGTATTTCCTACAAATAATTTATTATATTTTACTTTAGTTTTGGAAAATCCTTTGATACTTTCTTTTTTTTTCTTTTTCTAGAGGGCAAGATAATTTCGATTTTTTCAATAGCAGAACTATATTTGCAAATGTTTAATCATTTTAATTATTTTTTTCCATATTCTGCTTCTTGTTTGCTTTTTTATTGAGATTTGGTTTTTGGCTTAGGGTCCAGGGGTCTAGATTCGATTAAAGAATCGAATTATGTGACCCTGGACAAGCAATAAATTCAAATAGTCATAGTTCTGAGCTGGCGGTAGAACAGGTGGTATGCTAAAGGTTATCCCACTGAAATTATCGGATTTCTCTTAAAAACAATCATATCCCTTTTGTCACTAAATATATAGGACTAAAGTATGAAGATAATGCAAAGGATTTGCCTCAAGCTTATTATGAAAGACAGAAAATTTATATATACAAGGCTTCAGAATCTATATATGGGCTGGTCACTGCCTACAATCCCAGGGACTCAGGAGGCCAAGGCAGGAGGACCACAAGTTCAAAACCAGCCTCAGCAACTTATTGAGGCCCTAAACAACTTAGTGAGACCCTTTCTCAAAATAAAAAATAAAAAGGGCCATGAATGTGGCTTAGTGGTTTAGTGGCTAAGCAACCTTGGGTTCAATCCCCAGAGGGGGTGGAGGGGAAGAAATCTCATGGGAAAAAATATTGGAATAGAATCAAAAAACTCTCTGAGACTTCTTTTAGTGTTTGCAAATTGGGGAAGCACAAGTTATACAGATAATTCCCAAAGCTAGCATTCTACATCTTGCTTTTACTAATGTACAGTTCTGTCCAGGAAAGCTTGGTGTACTTGTTTAACAGAATGATGAGAATTAAATTTGGAGTTCCCTGAAGATTCAAGGCTTGCTGACTAGGCTGCAGCTAGTGAACCTGGGAAGTGCATGTTCAGTCCTGTGCAGTGCTTCTGTCTTTACAGCAGGGCTTAATGATAATCCAAGAGGCCCACTAATGAGCTCAGTCTTCACCATTAAAAACAAACCTCTTGGAGACTCCTACAGAATATGTATAGTTGGTTCCCCATGTCCATGGGCTCCTCACCCTCAGATTCAATCAATAGCAGGTCAAAAATATTTGAGAGGGTGGGGGTTATGGCTCAGTGGTAGAGCGCTTGCCTAGCATGCGTGAGGCACTGGGATTAATCCCCGACAACACATAAAAATAGAAACAAATAAAGGTATGGTGTCCATCTACAACTAAAAAAATTTTTTAAAAATTGAGAAAAAAAATGCCTCTGTACTGAATAGGTACAGACTTTTTGTCATTATTTCCTAAACAATATAATATGATAACTATTTTATACACCATATTCATTGTATAAGTATTAAAGTCATCTAGAGATGATTTAAATGATATGGGAGGGTTGCATAGGTTATTTCAAAACACTACATTGTGTGTTTTTTGGGGGGAGTGGAGTAAGGGGTTAACTAGGGATTTAACCCAGAGGTGCTTAAACACTGAGCCACATCCCCAGTCCTTTTTATTTTATGTTGAGACAGGTTCTTGTTAAATTACTTTGGGCCTCACTAAGTTACTAAGGCAGGACGTCCTTCCTCCTACCTCAGACTCCATTTTATATAAGGTATTTGAGCATCTGAGGGTTTTAATATTCATGAGGAGTTATGGAACCAACTTCTAAGGATACTGACTTTTCCTCTATAAAAGTAAAATTGGATTTTCATCTGCAAGAATGATCTGTGTTCACAGTGTATTACATGGGAACACAGACATTATCTTATGTCCCCATAAATTATTCTAGAATCTGTTACACATGGAATTGTGCCTGTTTTTTTTTTTTTTTTGCTTAGCCCATTCACGCCTGGTTGCAGTCTATCAGCAGCTTGGTCTTATGATTGATGGGTGGTATTCCATTGTATGGAGACTCCACAGTTTGGTCATGTTTTCATCTGTTGGTTACAATTGAGCCTGTTCCCAGTTTTTAGTGACTGTGAACAAAGCTGCTATGAATATTCATGTACGTACCTTCATATGGCCATGTTTTAATTTCTCTTGCATAAATACTTAGGATTATATTTGATAGTCCTAATATAGGTGAATTCTTAACATTTTATAAACAGTTGAAATGAGGAAGCAGAACTAGGCACTCCTCAGCTTGGAGAAGTCAGATAAGTGAGTATTGGGTAATGGATCATTCAACTCTTGTGGATTTGATAGGGGCAAATAGCCTGGTGAAAGCAGGAGGAGGACTGGCCACAGATTGGAAATCTAGGTTGACATTTCTGTTTGCTCATGTTCAGTTACGAGGACCTAGGTAAATATGTTATTTCTTTAGCTTGATTCCTTTTGTATACAAATAAAGTTGGATTTTCATCTGAAAGTCTGATACAACTTTAGTGCTCTATGATCACAGTGCTCCATATGGGGGTATAGACATGATCATATGCTCACATTTCCAAGATTAATCAACCAATGTCCCCTGAACCTCCTTAGAACCTTTAACTACGGATGTAGAAACTGTTGGTTCTTCACAGAATGCACGTATCATCTGGGAGTTGATTGGATCATCAATGTTCAGAGTCTCAGCATCACTTTTATCCATGCTAATTTGTTTTCTCTGGCAGATCCATGTTGACAGGGCTCTATCCTCCCACTTCTGGGGCCATCATGATCAATGGAAAGAATCTGCAGACAGACTTGTCCCGGGTCAGGATGGAGCTGGGGGTGTGTCCACAGCAGGACGTCCTATTTGCCAATCTCACCGTCCGGGAACATCTCCTACTCTTTGCTTCCATAAAGGCACCTGGGTGGACCCAGAAGGAGCTACAGCAGCAAGTCAACAAGTTAGTAAACAGTAGTCTCTTCACTCCTCCTGTCCTTACCTAGTTCTATAAGTGAAGAGTGTAGAAAGAGACACATTAAAAAATCAGCTATGCCTGTGTTTATGGGAGGAAGACATTTAGCAAATGGTTCTCAACCATAGAATTAAGACACCCACAAATACAGGGAATATCAGGGAAGGCTTTCCAGGGAAGGTACTGTATTTGATCTGCTATGTCTTTGAAGTGGGGAAGAGCTGAGCAAATGTGGAAAAGTGTGGATAAGCTGCTGGAGGAATTTTATGTGTCTGGAGCTAAGGGTTCCCAGGGGTATCCTAAAATAAAAATAACACAGAAGCAAGCAGGAGAACTGGTTGTAAAGAACCTTGTTAGTCACAGCAAGGAGTTAGAACTGTGTAGTGCACTTACAGGTGTTAAAGAGCAGGGGATTGTGCTTGGCTTCAGATCTAGAAGGTAGGTTTTGCTACACTATAGCAGATGCCATAGTCACAGGGGAGACCAGATGGAAGGAGCACAGATAGTACATCTGAGACCAGGCACAAGAATGTAAATCACACTGTCATAGGCCACTGCAAACTGAGGAGAATAACCTGGGTTGGATCAAAGAGGATTGTGGAACATGGACTGAAAGATGGGGTTCTTAGGCAGCTATGACAGAGATCCAGGGAAGAGAAGGTGGTGAATTGGGTTGGTGGGAGAACATAAGCTTTGCAAAAGTGAGCAGAAGAAATTTGAGGAAGGGGAAGGCTGGTGGGATCCCTTAGCATGTCTTTGGAAGGAAGTGCTAAAGGGGTGACCTGTACTGAGAGTGACCACATGTGTGGTCTCAGAGCAGTGTCTCTTCCCTGGGAGGCAGAGAGGGCTGTCTCCAGTTTATAGATGAGGAAACTGAAGCTCAGGGCAACGGATCCATGCAGTTCATACAGGCAACGTGAGTATACCAAGACTCTCGGATGCCAGGTCATTCTGGTGCCTTTCCTTTGGGATGGTTTCTCGGCTGTAGCATGAGAGATGGGGGCCTCTGGAGAAGTGCCAGGTAAGGGAAAGGGTATTCTCCAAAGGGTATTCTCCAAAGGGTATTCTCTTTCTGGTGGTGTTCCCTTGACTACAAAATGGACATTTCTTAGTAAGTTCCAGTGGTTTGGGAAATGAAGATGATTTGTTAGTGATTATAGAACAGCACTGGAAGGTGGCAAACTGCTTCTCCAGAAATACTTTGCTGCACTAGTTTTAACTTAACCACTTAACCAGTGCTTAACCACTGAGCCACATCCCTAGCCCTAGCCCTTTTTATGTTTTTAAATTTTGAAATAGAGTCTTGCTAAATTGCTTAGGGCTTTTCCTCCTGCCTCAGCCTCCTGAGCCACTGGAATTACAGGTGAGTGCCACCATGTCTGGCCCTTTTCCCCTCTTAAAATTCACCTTCTTGGCACGTGAGAAAGGCATTCTCTACTGAACAGTGGGCTCGTTCATACCTATGATGTCTTCAGAAAGTGAATACGAATAGTTATAGTGTAAGTAACAATGGACTCTTGAATGTACAGGGAAAAATGTTCACTTTTTACTATGTAAGCCTGTCTTAAATTTGAGTAGATACTTAATAAGAAATGACTAGACATTGTATGGTCTACATATTACAAAATAACAAATTGGTTAAGTACAACCAAATTTCTTATATTAAAAGTCACAGGTCACTTATTTTAATTTAAAATATTGTGTCTACCCTGGGCTATAGTAAACTCTACAGTGATCGTGATTGGCGGTTTAAATCATGCACCTAACAATGCTACATTGGCTTCATCTTATTGGGTACCAGGCAACCTTAGTGGTTATCAATGCACAGCATGTTACCTGGCAACAAAGCCAATTTTGCAAAAGCAATCAGAATGAGATCATGTTCTAGGACAGTAGTTCTCAATTAGAGGGAGGGAAAACCGAAAACATTGGATTTAGAACCAACATGCTCCTTATTAGTGTCCTGTAGCACCCCTTGTTTTCCATAATGTCTAGCTTAATTAAAATGTGAGCTCAAGAGAGTGGCGTCCCTCGCAGAAGCTTTAGAGTGAACATTTGTCAAGAGACATGTTGTTAATTTTTTTTTGGCCTTTATTTTGGCCTGGAGAAGATGAATAGTCAAGAGAGGAACATGTCAGGGTTTTGAATCAATGAGATGTTATGTGGTTAATGTTACCCTTTAGAGTTCTGGCCTACACTATGGAACTCAGGTTGGTGGTAGTAACAAGATCAATGAGGGCGTATGTGCAGGTAGAGCGGAGGGAGAGAGGACAGTGGACTGAGCCTGGACACAATGATACAGTGATGGACAAATGAGGAGGAACAAGTCAAAAGGCAAGAGAAAGCAAGAAAGAAGGAGGAAGAAAAAAGAGTGGACTAGGCCCACTGAGGAGGAAGAAGATCAGTGCATCAGTGCTTTGCAGGCCAAGTGTGAGGAAGACTGAGAAGTGACCTTTGGGGCTAGCATGCAGACGTCTTTAGCAACCTCCAGAAAAGCCATGTCAGTACTGTGCTAGGGGTGAAAATCTTACTCAAGTCAATTAAAGAGAAAAGGGAAGGAGAAAATTGGGGAGAAAGTTGGTAACAATACATTTTCCCAGGATTTTTTCTGCAAAAGGGAGAAAATAAATGGGATGGTACCAGAATGGAAAATTGAGGTCAAGAGAAGGATGCTTCAAAGACACAACGCACAGTAACATATCTGTACATTGCTGAGTGTGGTTCAGCAGAGAATGGGTAATTGGGATGCCCTAGAGGCTTGGTGGAACACTACCTATAGAGGACAGGGAAAGGGTCCTAGAAGAAGAGCTGGCAATTGGCTATCCTGAGAGCACAGTTGGTTCAGGTAAGATAGCAAGAAGCAAGGCAATTGATTCATGTCAGATAGCAGAAGGTAAAGGGAGCCTGTATTCAGCGTCAACATTTTTCAGGGTTAAGGGTGCATGCAAAGAAGTTATTACATTGATGTCCATGGACTTAAAAACTTGGAAGTGAGGGGAAGAAGGACCTCAAGGGAAGAGGAACAATGAAAAATTGATTTTTGTGGAGTAAAGTTGATTGCTGAGTAGAGAGAGGGGTTTTAAATATAGATGTGATCAGAAAAGAATTCACAGAATTGAGACACTGGAGGAACTATGGTAGCTGGAAAGACAAGGTCTAGGGTCTGCCTTGGTCGTGAGTCATTGGGACTGGTGAAGGTGAATGGAGAATGCTCTATACTAGATTTAAAGTTCCCACAATGCCTGGGGCTTTACTATTACCTTTCTCATATTTTACTATACTTTCCTGTCTTATTTCTTCACATATATTTTTAAAAACTATAAATAGGATTCGATTTATTTCTCTAGCCAAGCAGATGGCAGGCACCACACATTGTAGGGGTTCACTAAATGTTTGCCGAATAAATTGTTGAACAGACGCTTGAAGTGAAACCTCTAAAACAGGGTCCCCAGTAGATAAGTGGAGTCAATATGAGAGAAAGTCCTTTCCTTCTTTTCCTGCTGCTTAGCAATATTCTCAATTAGAGAGTTTTCATGTTCTTTTGAGAAGGAATTTGAAATTTAAATTTGCAGAAAGTATTTGCTTCTTTTTGGTATGTGACTGATCAATAATTAAAACAAAATACTAGCCCCTCTATAACCTTGGATTTTTCAAGAAAAATTATCAAGTAAAAATATTTGACCAATATTTGCAAATTGTTTTCTGCTTGTATTAATCAGCTTTTCATTGCTCTAGCTAAAATATCTGACAAGAACAACTTAAAAGAGAAAATATTTATTTTGGCTTATAATTTCAGAGGTCTCAGTACATGGTAGAGCAACTGAATGGTTCTAGGCCCAGAACAATGAAGTTGGTCAACCAATTGTGAAGCAGAACATCATGGTGGAAGGGCATGGCAATGGGAAAGGAGGAAAATAGAGAGAGGGAAGAGGGAAAGATATTACTTCCCAAGGCAATGCTACTAGTGACCTACCTCCTCCAGCCACACCCCACTCACCTTCAGTTACCACCTGTTAATCTATTCAAATCATTAATACATCAAATGATTAATCTTATTATGACCCTTACTATCCAGTCATGTCCTAAAACCTCCCACCTCTGAACCTTGCTATTTTGGGGACCATGATTTCACAAATGAACTTTCTTGGGGACATTGCAGATCCAAACCATAATATTTCTCTAATCTTTAAATTTGATCAAAGTAGCTGAACCACAACCAGAAACCAATGAAATGGAAATGGCTGGACTTTACAGCTCTTGAGGCAATGTTTTAGTCTCTCCAGACAACACCTTGTGACTTAAAGTCCTAGGAATATATCCTTTCCTGGAGAACAAGTCAAGTCTTTAGACCTCTGTTGATGTTAATGGGTATACCATGGGTACAAATTAAGTCATCAGGCTCCATACTTTGTTCTGGTAAAATAAGCATAATATCCTTGAAAAAGGACTATAGTCCATAGCAAGAGTGGGAATCATTAACAGCTATGTCTGATGGGTGTCACAGTGACCCAGTGGATGCCTGTATGCTATAATGGCACAGTCTGGCTTTAGATTGCTAGGTTTAAATCCAGCCCTGCCATTTGCTTAGAAATCTGTTTGCAATATATACTCTCTCTACCTTTGGTTTCCCAAATATTATATGGCTCCAACAATAGGAAGAACCATTTTGGAAAGTTGTGTAGAATATATTTATTTATATGCACAAAGCAGTTAAAACAAAACCTTGCATAGAATGTATGTGTAATAAATGTTAATTATGATTAACCAGGATAAGTGCTAAAAGTTTTTAACATTTAAAAAGTTATAAATTTACAAATTGAATAAATGACATTCTTCAAACCCGTGATTAAATTCTAGTATATTTTGATGTGAATAGAAACTTGCACTTCAAGCTAGACTTCTCAAGACCAATAACTCACAGTCTCTTATGGGTTACCCATGGCACTATGTTTCTTCTCCTTGTGTTCTAGTTGGGTGTGTGTATATGATGTCTTCACAGGATGCTGATCTCCTAAAGAAGGAACTATGCTTTGTTGTTGTTCCTATCCCCAAATGTACATTGTAAACACCCAGCACTTGTAGATAACATTGTGCAATCTTGAAAGAATTTATAAAATGCACTCAAATAAAATAGATTCATACTTATTCTCTCTACCTCATTGTTACTGTCTATCACTCTTGGCTTTACCAATTAAGAAAAAAAATGATGAATAAATTTGACCATAAAATATTTTAATATGTTAAAGTTCAAAATGTATTAGAAAAGCAGATTTCCATCAAAAACAAGCAAATTCACAGAGTAAAACAGACTGATGCTAGCCAGTTGCCTAAGGGATAAGAGAAAGCAAACCTCAGCCATTATAGAAACACAGGGCCGTCACTTAACACCTTGCCTGGCACCTGTGCAGGGAATGTGCTGTGACAGACCCACAGGTAGAGGTTAGAGTGTCTCAGAGTCAAAACCACTCCTGAATCACAATGCCAAGAATAACGAGAAGGTGGGATTTCGTCCTATTTGGGGTGTAAAGTGAGGCAGCACTGTAGGTCCGCCCAAAAATGTAGTATAGGCATTCTGAGCTGTGTCAATTAAAAAAAACGGGGGGTGGTTTAATGTAGAAATATAATCAGAACATGCATGTTCGAGAATATTTGACAATTTATTGACATATTTTCTTGTCTGTCTTCTCTACTGACTGATCTCTGATTACTGGGTCCAGACTGAGCTTGAGAGAGTCACATCCACTGCTGTATTGGAATCACCCAGATGGGAACATGTTGGTAGAGTATAGGGTCCAGCAGTTTCCTGCTGAAACGGAACCATTCATCTTCCTGTTTCTAACTTGGATGTTGTCAACAGTGGGTAACACAGAAAGCAGGTGCATATGTTACTGCCAAAAGTTTAGGTTGAGATTTAACCAGCAGAAAGTACACTCGGAACTTGAACTAAATATAAAATGCATAGACTGAAAACTAGACACTAAGAAGCTAGCTAGAGCTCTTTCTGTGTTAGGATAGAAAATATATAAATAATAAAGCAGAAATGAAAAATTTACTTAGTCATCAGGCAAGCAAGTTCTTGGGACTCACTCAGTGCTTTGCTTAGTATTCTGGAAGGTTTCCAAACTCGACTCTTGCTGAATCTCAAGATTATGTGGAACCTCTGTGATTCTACAGCACCTGTATAGTCTGACAGTCTCCCTGAGTTCAGAGAGGCCCTTCAGTTGTTGGCTATCAGGAAGTGATAAGAAGTCCTGAAGCTTAGGGCATCAAACCCACTTGGTTTGAATGTTCAGGGGAATGTTTCAGGGAGGCATGAGTTAAACTGGGTCTTGCACAAGGAGTGAGACTTCAATCAGGTGATGAGGTAGGAGTAGGTCTCTTCCTGTGGACTTAACAGAGTATAATGATGGTAAGGAGTGGCAGTTATTTGTGAGAAAAGATGGTGGAGCCATAGACATGGAGGGTAAAGCTTCATGCAGGGAAGACTTTAGGCTAGGTATCTGAAATTTTCTGGAACTCTCAAGAATGAAAAATCCCTGAGAGAATAAGAGGCTTATTTTTATATTAATGGAAATTGAGGATTTATATTTTGTAAGTGGCATGTCCTTGGGACTTCCTAATTATTTAGGAAGTTAGGGAGATACAATTTGAGTACCTAGTGATCCAGAGAGTTAAAGGCCTTGTCAAGTGAGCCCTGAAGCTTTTTCTTCTTCTGACCACACTGGTGCTTCAGCCATTCGACCATATTGAGGAGATGTTGGTCTGCCCTTGGCAGGATGTCTGAATGAAATGGAGAGGCTTCTCTGGGGAGGAGACAAAGTATTTTATAGTCATCTTACTTGGCAGACACTGTTGACCAGCATCACACTTAACAAAGGGGTGTGGTGTCATCTGCCCATGTGGAAGGGCAATGCTACTCTGTAAAGACTCCTATGCACATGTATCATCCAAGCCTTTTTGATGTACCTGTGGTTTATAAATATCTCAGTCACCATAGTCCTTGTAGGTGGAGTGGAATTCAGAGCAAAGCTTTCAAGTGTTGGAGAGAAGAGTGAAGCCGTTCTTCTTGTTTCAGAACTCTCAAGGATGTGGGGCTAATTCAGCATCAGCACAAACAAACTCAAACTCTCTCTGGAGGCCTGAAGAGGAAGCTCTCAATTGGCATTGCTTTCATGGGCACATCGAGGACAGTGGTTCTGGATGAACCTACAAGTGGGGTGGACCCTTGCTCCCGGCGCAGCCTCTGGGACATTCTGCTCAAGTATAGGGAAGGTAAGACCTGGGCCTTGTTCCACTTTGTCTCCCCACAATGTTGTGGCACATAGAAAGAATAGCTATTATATGTGAGAATCAAGTCACTGCACAATAACAATATATCTTTTTTTGGGGGGAGGTACTGAGGATTGAACCCAGGAGTACTGATTCACTGAGCCACATCCCCAGCCCTTTTAAAATATTTTATTTAGAGACAGGGTCTCGCTGAGTTGCTTAGGGCCTTGCTAAGTTGCTGAGGCTGGCTTTGAAGTTGCAATCCTATTGCCTCAGCCTCTGGAGCTGCTGAGATTACAGGTGTGCACCACCATGCCCAGCCACAATAAGGATGTCTTATTCTTTCTGGAACAAATAAAATCTTCAGATGATTTTAAGATATGTTTGATCATAGCCCTGTAGTACTCAGAATGCTTACTTTGTAATTTGTCCTCTCAGTATTAGCAATGCAACTTGCATTGAGCATTATCATACATGATTTCAGTTGAAATTGTCTTTATCCATATTGTGCTTCATTGTGGATGCACGGGTGATTAAAGAAGACATTAAAGATCATCTAGGATCAACGGTCCTGTGTGGGTCTTCTGAGGCTGTGGAAAATATCTGAGATGATCTACACAAGGGGCAAAGATCTATCTGGCCTTATGGTTTCAGTCCATGATTGGTTGGCTCTGTTGCTTTGGGCTTATTGTAGTACAGTTCCTCATGGTGGGAGCATGTGGTGAAGAAAGATGTTTACCTTGTGGCTAAAAAGCAATGAGGGAGACAGGAAGGGACCAGGGCCCTGACGTCCCCTTCAGGAGAATGTTCCCAACTTCCTTCCACTAGGTGCCATCTCCCAAAGGTTTTACCACCTCCCAATAATGACACAGACTGGGGATCAAGACTTTAACACATGGGCCTTTGGGGGACATTTAAGATCCAAACCTTAGCACTTGCTTTTCTTTCTTTTTTTTTTTTTTTAAATGTTATTAGTTATTCATAGACCTTCATTTATTTATTTGTTTATATGTGGTGCTGAGAATTGAACCCAGTGCCTCACACATGCCAGGCAAGTGCTCTACACTGAGCCACAACCCCAGCCCCACACCTTCTTTTCTCAGATGAGGAAACTGAGGTATGGAGAGTTGGGCATGTGATGGGCTCACAAATGGAGAGAAAATTCACTGCATGAAAGGGGAAACTCATGTTACTGACTTAGAGGGTCCATGTTTCTCATCTCTATTATTTCTTATTTTCAGTGGAGGACATTGGATGGGTAGTTACTAATGTCCAACCTCTGGTTCTTTGTGTAGCCCTGACATCTAGGAAGCATTGCTACAGTATTTTGTATAGAAACATTCTTGTTTGGAAAGAAACATGGGTAATAGTGAAACATATCTTGGTGCTGGTGAATAAGTTTAGAAGCTTCAGAAGCAAGATTAGTACATGATCTTACACACTGTCTTTTTAAATTTTTGCTTTTGTTTTTTTGAGCATAATATCTTCCTCAGTCTTGGCCTGAATCCTGGGGGATTGGTTACTGAAGGAAAATAAAAGCAATGATAAGAAAGGACTTTTCTTTTTTTTTCTTTTTTCTTGTTTTTTTAACCATCCAGAACCAAAGAGACTCAGAATATTGAATTCTCTCTTAGAATAGAGGCTCCAGTCTATCACTTAAGGCCTGCCATAGGGTGAGATGAGAAGGGAGAAGGGTAATTCAAATGGGGCATAAAGGAATTATCCTGTTCCTGTCCCACAATTTTAGGGGAAATTTAGAAAGAGAGGATAGAGAAGGGATCAGGGATAACAAGCAAACAAATATGGCTTTTTTTTTTTGCCCCCCATTCTAGGCTTGGGCTTGGGCTTGGGCTGGGCAATTAATGAAAAAGTGTGCTACACGTGGCTCCTCAGTCTGGGTGCAGCCACATCAAAGTTCATGAGACTGAGTGGAATGCTGGGACCCAGGGGGGTATTCTCAGGCCCATGGGCTTCCATACTGAGGAGAGCTTGCTAAAGATGCTGCCATGGAAGAGTGGTGTAGGGGGTAGACTTGAAGCTGGCTGGCTGGAAGCCTGGTTTAGATTTAGGGATGTAGGTCCGTAGGATCTAGTCAAGGTGGAAAGAGCCCGGGAGTACTCTGTACTTTGAGACCCGACCCTTTTGGGTTGCTGCCCAACCCACAGACACTAAGACAGGGAGGGGGACAGCAACAGGTGGTCTCCCGGAAACCAGAGGAGGCTGACCACATTGCATGCAAAGATCCCAATCCTTTGCAAAGGCTTCTTGTTCCATTTGCCTAAATGGGCTTTGGGGATAAATGTAAAGGGCAGAAATGAGGAAATGTGAACTTTTTGTGCAAGTCCCAGAATGTCACTTAGAGAAACTGATTACATTTTGAGATGACTCTAATTTAGATTGGACTAATAACATTTTCCTTGCCTCTGTAAGTGTGGACTGATACATAAGAAGGATGAGAGATAGACAAGAAGATTACACTGCCTCTGCACTCTGACTTGTTGTGCAAATGAAATACCAAAAGCCCACTACTCTTGTTTATTTTAAAAGTCAGAGATGGATGCTTAAAGGTTTAGCTGACAGAACATTTTAGTAGTGAACAGAAAGTTTACTTTAGACAGAAAACCAGATACAGTGTAAGTCTAAAAGACAGATTTCTTCAAATTCTTTTGTTATAAATTAGATATTATTTTCTCACTTTTTTTTGTCTTTGGAAGACTTCTTTGGAATTGTCCTTGTATTGATTGAAGTGCAAAACCAATAGGGTCTAAGATTAGTTAGTTAGGTTGATTAGTTAAGGCGGTTACTGATAGAAAAATGCATTTTCAAAAATCAAAATGTATAACCATTTCTAGAAACAGCCCCAAACCTTCAGGTAACTGATAAGAGCTCTGTGAGATTGATCCAACACTGCACAAAAATGAATGGTACCTGCTGAGTAGGAAGAGATTCTTCCATCAGAACACCAGTACACTGTGAGCTCAATCTATTGGGAATTTCACGTGTGTATTTCCTACTTAGTCGGGAACAATGTGAGCTCTTGATCAGCCCTGGTGCCATTACTTCTGTGCTTCTCATGTAAAGATCCATTAAGAAGCAAAAGATATCAGAACAAGTTGGCATATCACAACTAAATCCTTGTACTGGATTTGATGCTTGGCTCTTATTTGCTGTATGATCCTGGAAAAATGGTCAGATTCCTCTGAGCTTCAGTTATCTAATTTTCAAATTGAGACAATTATATCATCACAGAGGATTTTACAAGAAGTAAATGTGCAATATGTAAAAGTGCATAACTCAGTACCTACTATGTGGGTACTTGATCCATGACAGGCTGTCATTGTTATTATTAAAACAGATGAGAGAAGGTAAATGCGGGAATTACAGGTTTTGGAGGAAAAGAGGTAGAGTATGTCATCTGAATTAGGGAGAGAAACAATGAAAGAGTCTCTTGGGGGAAAACAGAGTATTAATATTGTCCTTTGAGATTTAGGATTTTTCTCAAGTTGCCCTAACAGCAGTAAGGAACCATCATGGCTCAAACATCTGTGACTATTTTAAGTTCATTGAAAATTTATCTGTTATTTATTTACAATCCCAGCTTTACTTAGGTATATATGACAATGCAGATTGTGTGCTTTTGTTGTATATAGCATAATGTTTTCATAAATGCATATATCATGAAGTAATTATGTCAAGCTAATTAACAGGTCTATTGCCTCATAAACTTTGTGTGTGTGTGTGTGTGTGTGTGTTGAGAACATTTAAGTTCTAATTTCATGTATACAATGCATTATTATTAACCATAGTCATCATGCTGTGCAATAGATCTCCAGAATTCATTCATCTTGCATAATTGAAACTTTATACCTTTAGCCAAAATCTTCCTGTTCCTCTTTCCATTTCTGCAGCCCCTAGCAACCACCATTCTACTTTCTCTTTCTCATTTGGAAATTTAGATTCCAGTGGACTTCTATTTTTAGACTACCTCATTGTATGGGAACATATCTGAACTGCGTGAGACCTATAATCAAAGAAACTAACCTGCCTCTGATCCCAGGCCAGGAGTCGAGCACATTTTCTTAGCATCAAAGGACTAAGGGGCAAAGAAATGGTTCCTGGTCTTTAGAACACATCTATAGCAAGAGCTAGTCCCTGTAGGCCCTCCTCCCTGCTGTTCTTGGGTCTATATTTTGTGTTTTCTTTAAAGATGGATTTTATAAAATGAATTAGAGGCATAGTCTTTTAATCCTTCCTCTCTATTGAAAAATATAAAATCAAATAGGGTTAAAAACATCTTCAGCCTTATCTCTTTGAGAGTTTGCTTTTGCAATCAGAATCAATCAATACATTTGTTCTACTTGATAGAACAGTTCGATGGGGCTCAATGTAAGCCAATGAGGGAAGTAGAAACTAAAAGTCAGAACAGCTTCTCTTTATGTTACTGAAATAAACTTTACCTTTAGCTTCCCTGGTCTCTGCTCTTCTAAGGAAATATGGTGCCTTTTTCTCCCAAGGAAAGGTAGTAAAATTTTACAAGATGCTAGAACTCATGGAGGATACATGTGAGCTAAGCATTGAAACAGTGTCCCTGTCTGGTCAGTCAGGATGGTTTCACCTTCTGAGAAGGCCCAGATGAATGAATTCACATGGTTCTGTCATCCCTGATCCCTAAAGGTACCCATATATGCCAGGACAATTTAGACATAGTCATTTTTAAAGATTACTCTATGGTTTAACCTAGAGCTTGTGGTTTTCTTACACAGTAGCCCTTCCGTAGGCTATAGCCCATAGAAGATCACATCAGAGAAGAGAAAGATGCTCACCCAGCTTTTTAAACATTTCTGTGTCTTCTTTACATTCATGTGGCTATCTGCCTCTAAGTCTTAAGGAATGAGGTTTTGGCAAAGGGACTTTGTGTTTTGCACCTCAGTTTCACCATTAGGACATGGCAGAGTGGCTCCCCCAAGTGCATCCAGAAGGAGTTGGAGGATTTATAAAAACAGCAGTCATGACCTTTGGGGAAACTGTAGAATAAATAGTTAAAGAGTTTTTAGTTTGTAAAGTGCCCTTGGCTAGGTCTTTTCCACAGTATCCATTTCAATTTTTTCTGCTTAAAATTGGTGGCTGCCTTTTTAAAATTGTGTCAAGGACCTGCCATTCTCTGAGGAAGAATAGATGGTCTTCCTTAGAGCCTTTGTCACATTGATTCTGATGTGCCTGTGCTTGGACCTAGGTCGCACGATCATCTTCACAACCCACCACCTGGATGAAGCTGAGATGCTCAGTGACCGTGTGGCCGTCCTGCAGCAGGGGCGGCTCAAGTGCTGCGGTCCTCCTTTCTGCTTGACAGAGGCCTATGGCCAGGGACTCAGCCTGACGCTCACAAAGCAAGTAAGGAGTACTGCTCTTTTGGTGTCATTGGAGAAGTTCCCTTCCTGTCTGTGGCATAAGGAACAAATTGTGACAGTCACTTGACAATAATACCTAAATGGAGGCCTTTTGTGCATAATAGTCAGTTGCCAAAATATGTCCCTCCAGGGCTGAGCTAGGCTCTGTGAACCCAAAGGTGCATTTTATCTGCTAGAAGAAAATGCACAAGGGCTCAGAATTACCTGACAGGTACTAGGAGCTGCTGCCGAGTATTCTAGAAATATTTTTCTGACAGGGAGTCTAAATTTTGCCTCAAGTCAGAAGCAGAGTAGTAAGGAGCTATAGCAAGTGTGGTGGGACTCGAGATATGCAGAAGCATCATTGTCTACTATCAACGGGGCAGGCCTTGGTGGTCCTGGAGTTGATCCAGGAGGTGTGGGAAGTCACTGTCAGTTCTCAATGACTATGTCTGATCCTTGGTGACCTGAAGGAAGTCTGCCCTTGACCTCTGTTCTGTGGTTCCCATTTGCCTCCTCTCTAGCTTAGAGTATCTTGCCATCCTTGAGATGGCTTGTTTTCTTCTTCAGTTGGGAATCCTTGTCTCTCTTTTAAGAAGACTCAACCTTGTTTCTTGCAATCCAATTGCTAGAACTTGAGTCTCCTTTGTGATTGTTCCATGGGATGGAGGGTGTCTCATGAACACAGACCCCTATAAATAGGCTGCAGTGCATGTAAGCAAGTTGGGCATGTGGGTCTGACCTTGCCAGGTTTATCACTGAGGATTTATATTATTATTATTACTACTACAACTACTACTGCTACTACTTGTGGTAATGGGGATTGATTGAACCCTGGACCTTGCACATATCAGGCAAGCACTCTACCACTGAGCCACAGCCCCCAGCCTATTGATTTATATTTTTAACAAAGAAGAAACAAAGAAAATTATACTGTATTATTGAATGCCTACCACTTAAATACAGTATCCCATTCAAGTTTTGAAGTGGAATGTGTTTAATTTGCTTATGAGTTTACAGGTAATTGACTGGTATGTGTTTGGATTGACGTTTCTTACTGATTTATCACTCTGTTTTCTTTTTGATAGCCCTCTGTTTCTGAGGTCCATGATCTCGAGGACATAGCTTGTGTTACATCCCTGATACAGCTCTATGTACCAAAAGCATTTCTCAAAGACAGCAGTGAGAGTGAGCTGACCTTTGCCATCCCAAAGGACACAGACAAGGCCTGCCTCAGGGAGCTCTTCCAGACCCTGGATCAGAACTTAGAGCAATTGCACTTGATGGGATATGGAATCTCAGACACCACATTGGAGGAGGTACTAAGATATGCAGAAGCTTTTGTGGCCAGTCTCCATGCAATGAAGAGACTTGGGCAGAGGGAGGGGATGGAGAACATGGTGCATTTTTATTGGTGTCAAGCACAGTGGAAGCCTATAACTGAATGTAGTCATCTGACAGGTGACTGTTATTGTGGGAATATAATATTCCTGTATTTGAGAACTTTTGTATCTTTAATCAAAGATCAGTAAATATTTATTCACTATCTTCAATAGGGAATGGTTGGCTGATTATAATTCATCACCTGGAAGTTCCTGCTTCCATACTGTGGATTTCTGTCTAGGAGCTGTGGCCTTAAACTGGGCAAACGGATCAATGTAGGAGAATCTAATATGCAAACACTGAAGAGTCCTGGCCAGCTCCCCACCTGCAAGCATCCCTTCCTCTGTGCAGGGGTTGGGACCAACCATTGGATGTGATTTCTTTATAGCATCCAGCCAACAAGAGTCAGATAGTGGGATTTCCTCCAGGAGGAAGTTGGTGTGTTGTGCAGTCCAAACAAAAATAAGCCTTGTGTGTGGTCCTTGAAGTTGGGTCTGTGTGTGAGCCAAATTTGAGCTTGCATTTGACATTTCTATCAACTCTAGAAAGTGCTGCAGATTAAAGAAAAAAAAAAAAGAAGTACTACAAACTAGAATAAAAATTAACCTCAACAGAATTTTGGACCAGTTGCTCTACTTTATCAGATTCAGGAATAATAGTAGTGTAGTAGTGCCTGATAAGGTCTGTTTTTTTAAAAATTATTTATTTATTTATTATAATTAGGTATATATAACAGCAGGATGCATTTTGATTCATTGTATACAATTGCAGCACAATTTTTCATTTCTCTGGTTGTACACCATATAATGTCGCACTATATTACAGTCATATATACCTAGGGTAATGGTGTCCATCTCATTCCACCATCTTTCCTGCCCTCATGTCCCCAATCCCTCCCCACCCTCCCCTTTACCAAAAGTTCCTCCATTTTTCCATGTTTCCCCCCAACCTCTGTTATGGATCAGCATCCACTTATCAGAGAGAACATTCAGCCTTTGTTTTTTTTTTTTTTTGGTATTAGCTTATTTCGCTTAGCATGATATTCTCCAACTCTATTCATTTACCTGCAAATGCCATAATTTTATTCTCTTTTAATGCTGAGTACTATTCCATTGTGTATGTATACCACAGTTTCTTTATCCATTCATATATTGAGGGACATCTAGGTTGCTTCCACAGTTTAGCTATCATGAATTGAGCTACCATAAACATTGATGTGGCTGTGTTACGATAGTATGCTGATTTTAAGTCCTTTGGATATAGACCGAGGAGTGAGATAGCTAGATCAAATTGTGGTTCCATTCCAAGTTTTCTAAGGAATATCCATATTGCTTTCCAGAGTGGTTGCACTAATTTGAAGTCCCACCAGCAATGTATAAATGTGCCATTTCCCCCACATCCTTGCCAACACTTATTGTCGTTTGTATTCTTGATAACTGCCATTCTGAATGGAGTGAGATGAAAGCTTAGAGTAGTTTTGATTTGCATTTCTGTAATTATTAGAGATGTTGAACATTTTTTTAATATATCTGTTGATCAAATGTATATTTTCTTCAGAGAAGTGTCTGTTCAGTTCCTTGGCCTATTTATTGATTGGGTTGTTTGTTTTTTTGGTGTTAAGTTTTTTGAGTTTTTTATATGTCCTGGAGATTAGTGCTCTATCTGATGTGTGTGTGTGGCAAAAATTTACTCCCAAATGGAGGCTCTTTCTTCACCTCATTGAGTGTTTCTTTTGCAAAGAAGAAGCTTTGTAGTTTGAATCCATCCAATTTATTAATTCTTGATTTTATTTCTTGTGTTTTAGGAGTCTTGTTAAGGAAGTCGGTGCCTAATCCAACATGATAAACTTTTGGGCCTACTTTTTTCTCTATTAAGCACAAGGTCTCTGGACTAATTCCTAGGTCCTTGGTGAAATTTGAGTTGAGTTTTGTGCATGGTGAGAGATAGGGGCTTAGTTTCATTTTGTTGCATATGACTTCAGTTTTCCCAGCACATTTGTTGAAGAGGCTATCTTTTCTTCAGTGTGTTTTTGATGCCTTTGTCTAGTATGAGATAACTGTATTTATGTGGGTTTGTCTCTGTGTCCCCTATTCTGTACCATTGGTCTACATGTCTATTTTGGTGCCAATACCATGTTATTTTCGTTACTATAGCTTTGTAGGATAGTGTAAGTTCTGGTATTGTGATGCCTCCTGCTTCATTCTTCTTGCTAAGGATTGCTCTGGCTATTCTGAGTCTCTTATTTTTCCAAATGAATTTTATGATTGCCTTTTCTATTTCTACAAGGAATGATGATGGGATTTTAATTGAAATTGCATTGAATCTTTATAGCGCTTTGGGTAGTATGGCCATTTTGACAATATTAATTTTGCCTATTCAAGAGCTTGGGAGACCTTTCCATCTTCTAGGGTCTTCTTCAATTTCTTTCTTTAATGTTCTTTAGTTTTCATTGTAGAGGTCTTTCACCTCTTTGTTAATTCCCATGTATTTTATTTATTTATTGAGGATATTGTGAATGGGGTAGTTTTCCTAATTTCTCTTTCAGAGGATTCATCACTGATGTATAGAAATGCATTTGATTTATGGGTATTGATTTTACTACTAAGGTTTTTGATTAGTAATTAACACTGAGAGGCTAAACCAGTATCAGAAATTTTAAATAATTCTGAGAATTAAAACAGTTCAATTTTCAGGATGTTAAAAGCTGAACATCATTTGTGTTTTATATAGATTTAGGGGCTTACAGGCACATCACTAGGTTTGTGACTGAGGAGACGAGGCAGCCCTTTGTGTGATCAAGGAGTGTACGACAGGCCCCCTTGTCTGTGGATTTGCTTTCCCAGGTTACAGTTACACATAATCAGCTGTGACCGAAAGAGAATATAGAAAAATAGAATATTTTGACAGGGAGAAAAATAGAACGCATAACATATTGTAGTATGTAGTTATAACTGTTCTATTTTTTATCATTGCTGTTAATCTTTTATTGTAACATTTCTAAGTTGACCTGTATCATAAGCATGTAGGTATGTATTGGGGAAAAAAAACAACAACAACAGTGCATATAGGATTCCGTATAATCCCTGGAGCTGGGCATCCACTGGGGACCTTGAAACATCCCTCATGAGTGGGGTAAATCTATTGTAGTCACACATTTTGTAGAAAGCAGCCATCACACCTTTATGTAGAATACTCTAGTTATAGAAGACTATAAAACATAAAAGTATATATAATATTATAATACACTTTTATACTTAGATATATATTTTATTCCCTCAAAACTTGTAGCTGCTAATTTTTCCTCTTTTTAAGGTTGCAGAAATTGAGGCTCAAAGAGGCTAATTTTTCTTAACCCCAAATCACACTGTTCTAAGTGGCGGAGCTGCACTTGAACCTAGGCTTTCTACTAATGAGTCATATTTTCTGAACATTCCTGGCTTTTGTGGGTGATGCTCTCTACTCCAAGGATCATCAAAGTTGAGCATTCATTCCCACTGCCTCCATTATGCCTTTTTTGATAGAGCAAGTTGTGGCACACAGAGTCAAACAAAAAGCAGCCTAATACGCACACATGATGGGTATGAGCTGTTCCCTATACCAAAACTTGCAGAGCCATTATGTCCTTTGTGGCAGGGTTACTATGTCCTACTTTTGTTCCTCAAGTCTTGATACGAATGCTACCTCCACAAAATGCTGAAAGGCTGGACTCCCCAGCCTTATCTGGGTCCTATCCCCTCCCTCTCTTGCTGTAGGCCTGGTATGTTCTCTTGCCATCTCTGACTCTCCCATGAAAGTTGAGCTCTGGCTGTGCTCACTCTCACGCTTGTGGTACCCAGTGCAGTTCTTGGCACTTGTGGTTGCTTAATAAATAGTTATTGAAGGAATGATGTGCAGGGCATTTCCAAAGACACATCCGGCTTCTGAGAGTAATTATTGTCCCAAAAGCATAAACTTTGGCCTAGACACTCCTAAATCCAGATCTTTCTACCTCCTAGCTCTAGGGCCTTGGATGAATCACTCAGGTCTTGTGAGTGTTTGTTTTTTTGATTTTTAAAATGGAAAAAAAAAATCAAAACAGTTTAAATTGTTGTTACAAAGATGAATAAAGACATATGCTTGGATGGTCAAAATGGTCAAAAATGTTAATGGTTCTTACCTATAATGGAGTGGCATGTGAAATTGTTGCCATTAACTTTGGAGGGACAATGGAATTAAATCATACCTATTCTACGAAAAGACACGTTTATCTTCATGGGCTGTTGACAGATAGCAGTCTTCCCTGTGCCAAAGTAGAAGACCCAAGAATTTCCCAAGTCCCCTTTTCCCTGAACACTTGCATCAGGATAGGTGTGAAGTCCCCCATGGATATAGGTTTTCAGACCTGCAGCTCATTAAGTGCTATACATGCACATGAGTGTTAGAAAATTATCACTGCCTCTGAAGCATGCACAAAGCGGTAGCTTTCTCTTGCTGGGACCAATATACCTGACATGAGCAAATTAAAAGAAGACAGATTGGTTTTGGCTCATGTTTTTAGTCTGTGGTTGGCCAGCTCCGTTGCTTTGATTCTGAGAGGAAGCAGAACATCAAAAAAATGAAGGGTGTGGTAGAGGAAAACTTCTAGGCTCATAGTGATCAGGAAAGTGTGCATGATGGGGCGTGGATAGAGGGGGGGCAGGCACACCTGGGACAAGATCCAGTCTCAAAGGGCACACCTCCAGTAAGCCATTTCCTCCAACTGTGCCCCACCTGCCTACAGTTTCCACCTCCTCTAGGCCATCCATTCAGCTATCAATTAACTAATAATTCTTCGACAGTTTCAGACCCTCGTGATCCAATCATTTCCCCAAAGCCCTATCTCTAAACTTTGCTGCGTTACAGACCAGATCCAAACCATAACATAAAAAGACCAAATATTAGACCAGAAAGCTAGTAA